AGCTAGCGAAAGATTTGTGTTTTTGTCTCACTCTAATGGATTATCATTTGTTTTCTGTCTGGTAGGGATGACAACATGTTTATTATACCAATATGTTGCAGAATGGTTGAAGTATTTCTTTATTACCTCTATATTTGTAACTATTACAACTCACTATCCTTAAGTAACGGAGAGAAAAAGGTTTCAAACCATATTAGGATTTTCATAAGTTAAACAAGTTATCATATACTATTATATAAAGCTGAAGAGTTTGCTTTTTGTTTGTTTGTTTGTTTGTTTGAACGCGGTAATCTCCGTAACTACAAGTCTGATTTGAATAATTATTTTGGTGTTGGATAGCGCATTTACCGAGGATGGCTGTAGGCTATAAAACATCACGCTACGACTAATAGGAGCTGAGCAGAGCGTGTGAAAGCGCGCGGAAGTAGCTAGTGTTTTATAAATAGCTTAACCGACAACTGCTAAACTTATGTAGGTGTAGATGATGACTTTATAAAAAATAAATTCAACCACGGATAAAACGTGAACCCATTTATTATAAATAACCATAATTTAAACCATTAAATTAAACCATTAAATTATGGCAATGATGCCTAACTCACTACTCAGCTCTAGGGATGATGAAAATTAAAAATTGAATTAGTCCGTCAGTTAGGTAATGGAAAAATATTAGACACGATTTTATTTTGTCATATAAGAAAACAATACTTAGATAACACGAATCAAAGTTTTAGGAGTGGGACCGTAGCTACTTCATTTTTTATTATAAAACGTACACAAAAGTGACGTCACGCGTTGATTCAAGTCAATATAACGTCAAATGTATTTCTTTCCGTAGGAAAATAAAAAGAACATGTCTAATGTTTATAGAGGTAAAATATTGTTTTCAAAATTGTCCCTAAGGAATATTTAAGGAGGTAGTCATTTAAGAAGACTATATTTTTTATACGGACCTAGTGGAATCTAGAACAAATTCCGTGCGTTTAGGCGCTTTTCTTATACTTATTATTGGAAACAAGTATAACTTACTTTACAGCTCACACATACACACACATCCCATTTAGATTTTCGTTTTTCCTTGGTGCTCTTATAATATCTTCTGATTTATTTCGTTGCGATAAACAATACAGTTGTTCATGTCCCTGAGACTTCAGTGTTCCGGTGTTTTCATGGTTGTGTCTACTGTAGATCCTGGCTTACAGGAGTTGCAGCGGTTTAAGGAGGTTTTAGCGGGCTTGTCTCATAAAAAATACCAAGAGAAATAATGCCATTTTCGTATTCTTCTATTTTTTTATTTTTTAAATACAGATAGTATTCATCTAACTACAGCTTCTTCAAAGTCACTTGTAAAAAAGTCTACAGACATGTCTGGTGTCGTGGATTTCAATAAAATAAAAAAAAACCGTTGCCCCACACTAGGATTTTCTCCTGTGTCGTGGGTGCGTTTACAAACATACAATATCACATACACATCACACCCAGACCCGAAACAACAATTTGTGGATCACACAAAGTGTTGTTCCGTGCGGGAATCGAACCCGCGACACGTTGCACGGCAGCCGGTTGCCCAGCCACCGCACCAACCGTGCAGTCCACCAACCGTGTATTATACTATCTATTAGTTTATTTTTTATTTTGGCAAGTTTATGATATCGTGATGTGTCATTTTTTCCGTATTTCAGCGTAATTTTTGCTATTGTCTTGTAAGACTCTTAAAATATTGCAAATGTTCTTATTATTCTTGTTTATAGCTTTATTTATAGCTGAATAATGCGTCTCAGCATAATTATTGGTTTTTTTGTATTTGACCATAACAGCACCATTTTTGTTTGACCACAATTTGTGGTCAATCCGCTGGGTAACCATATAATCGTTGAATGCTGTTACTTTGTCATCTTGGGGACTCTCAACCATTATGTATAGCCAAACATCGTCTAAGCCATTCGTTGACAAATAAGGGAGAACAGTACATAGAGCACCGTGCTTTCTGAAAATACTATTTTCATTTGGGCCTACCTCTTTACCTCTCTTTTGTAGCGCCCTTTAAAATGGAAGTATCACCCTTTTACTGCGACTTTGAAATACAGATAGTATTCATCTAACTGCAGCTTCTTCAAAGTCACTTGTAAAAAAGTCTACAGACATGTCTGGTGTCGTGGATTTCAATAATTGAAATAGTAGTTCGTATGTAGACATTTTTTTGTTCAGAAACATAGCATATGCTTTACACCCTCTTACTGCGACTTTGAAATACAGATAGTATTCATCTAACTGCAGCTTCTTCAAAGTCACTTGTAAAAAAGTCTACAGACATGTCTGGTGTCGTGGATTTCAATAATTGAAATAGTAGTTCGTATGTAGACATTTTTTTGTTCAGAAACATAGCATATGCTTTACACCCTCTTACTGCGACTTTGAAATACAGATAGTATTCATCTAACTGCAGCTTCTTCAAAGTCACTTGTAAAAAAGTCTACAGACATGTCTGGTATCGTGGATTTCAATAATTGAAATAGTAGTTCGTATGTAGACATTTTTTTGTTCAGAAACATAGCATATGCTTTACACCCTCTTACTGCGACTTTGAAATACAGATAGTATTCATCTAACTGCAGCTTCTTCAAAGTCACTTGTAAAAAAGTCTACAGACATGTCTGGTGTCGTGGATTTCAATAATTGAAATAGTAGTTCGTATGTAGACATTTTTTTGTTCAGAAACATAGCATACGCTTTACGATACCACCGACATCACCATGAATACTATAAATCTGAAGAAAAGGTTTTGGTGCAGATCTAAAAGTCCCATCACAATAGAGATGGCGTGTTATGGCAAGTTCTTCTTTGCTTCTTGCCGTGGCAAATAGATTTATTCTATTTTTACCATCGTAGAAGTCAGCCTACAGAAAGTCCAGATATTGTTAGGGTACCTTAAAATAAATATATAATTTGAAAAATGATTTAAATATAAACAAACTCCTGGACAGATGCGTAGGTTTGCGTAGGTTGACTCAACAGATTCAACTTTCTAAAAACTATTTCATCACTTTCAATCTCAAAATGATTTATACTTTAGGGAACTGAGAGTATAGTTCCCTAAGATCGGAAAAGGAGGACCCTCTGACCAGGCGAGGTGATCGTGTCTGGCGGGCTTTCTGCTCAACAGTTGTTGTTGGGTTGTTCTATGCATGTTTATTCGCTTGTAAACTTTGCATGTGCGATGTAGGATTCTTGTGACGTCATCCGTTGATTTGTGACATGTGTCGCCACATATACTAGAGGTATATAACTGAAATTGTCATAATTATAATGGTCGTTAAATAACCCCTAGATTGAAAATTAAGAATACTACCTTGTACATCACCCGCGGTTTTCGCACACAGGCGGCGAACTCCACAAGTCCTATTTCGTTGGTTGTATAGACTAGACTTTATGATCTTGTAATCTGAGGAACAAGCTACCAAGTTGAGCTCTTGATCGAGTAATTTATTCTTTTTATTTTTTATAACGTTGGGATATGACCATCAGTGGCTGCAGCTTCTTTTCTTAGTTCGTCCACCGCTTTGTTTACTTCAGCCTGGGCACTGTTCATGGGCAAATGCAGCAAATTTGAATCCACGAAGACCACCTGCCAAATATTTTGATAGGTGCCTTTCGTGGCCTAGGCTAAGTGCTATTCGCACAGGTGCTAATGTCTCTGAGTACTTCAGTTTGTTACCTCCTTACTCTTTATTTGATACATTTTATCAATCCTCTTGAAATTTTGCACACCTACTCATAGTTGGGAGTACTGAGATGGCCACAAGTTATGTCGCGGGTAAAAACTAGTGGTATATAAATAAGCTTGTGAATTCTGGAGGTTGTTTGTTTAATCTCCTGGGAGGGTAAACAATATGTTTGAGAATTTACGTGTTTCATGTATTTAGGGATTACAAAATTTTACTTTGAATTACTCAGCAAAAGTTTAATTTATTTGCTGTTACATGAACATGTGGTAATGAGATACGTATACACGACGGGGACGGTGTCAATTGGGTTGGGTTTGTGTTATTATTTTTTACGAATTTTAGATTAAAGATTTTTGTAGTACATATACGTAAATAAGATTTAGTTACATTTTTTCATTGTCGTTTCGCAACTGACGCGTCATTGGCCGAATGCTCGCAAGTGCGACGGCTGGACAAGGGGTCTCGTGTTCGATGTCTGAGTTTGGCAAAGTAATATTGGGTTTAAACAAATTGTCTGGAATTGTGCCCAGTAGGTATATGGCAATAGGCTCACCTATTACATGGGACTCGTAACATAAAAATGGTGTAACATTGTAAAGTGGCATTAAGTGCCGTAATGTGCCCTACCCTTTGGGGATAAAAGACGTGATATTATGTTATGTCGTTTCGCAATTATCTATTTGATGACTATAAGCCTTATAAAGATAATTACGAGATTAGTACAGCGGCCGAATACCGAATTAAGGAAATTACAAGTGCGTATACGAAAATCTACAAATCTATTTAATGTATGTATAACCGCTACGAAAAATATCCTAAAGAATTTACAAAGAGAAGCTACTGTAAGGTTTCAAGAATAAGTGCTGGCAATCGCAACAAAACTCTTTTTTTCTCAAGTTAATTGCAGGGTTCAGAAACGCAATCACGGTGCAGCCACGTGGAACTTTGAACTTAACTGTTATAACTGGAACTTAGAGTTAGAGGTCAAATTGCAATATAATGTGGGCTAACGTTTAATTGCAATGAATGTAGGTTTAAATGAGTTTTTTTTAGATTAATTTATTTTCATGGAATTGTAGATACTAATATAATAGCGTTTGTGACGGCTACTAGATGGTTATAATCGAAGACTTCAGTTCCGATTTATAAAATGTAATAAAAGTAATTACAAGATCTGTGTTGCCAAAATCTACGAAACAAACAAACGAAAAGTTTAAGAACATTTTTTTATATCCTAGTCAAAAAAGATATTACCCACAACTTATTTCATTCCAGGAATGGGTATGGACCCTGACCGGCCAAAATCGACAAAATCGTGAGAAGGTGGATCCAGGAGGCGAGCTGCAGATCATGCTGCCGGCTCAGCCCGACAAACCAACATCGGGAGAGGTGTGCTTGCTTGCTGAGAGCCCGTTCAGAATCCTGAGGGTAAGTACAATCTATATCTTTAAATTGTTGAGAAATATGCTTAAAACAGATGGTGGAAAATCATGACTTTTCTGGGTACGATATAAAGTACAGTAAAGAACAGTAGTTCTTTACAATTATTTTATTATTTTTGCTAAGTATTCCTATATTATATGTTTAATGTCTATAATGATTCATTTCTATAAAAATAATAACCGAAAAAAAAATAAAAAATAAAATTACGCCAAATTCGCTGACAACAAAACTTTACAGTGGAGAATGCGCGCTTTAAAGAAATATTATTGTATAAATAAAATGTGACTAATACTACCACCATTATAAACTCTTATTTTCTCATATCCCCAAGCGGTCTCCGGTGACCGCTCTCACTAACTACATTATAGACCTTATTGCCAATGTTTAGAGACTACTTTTATATGAACAAATTTAGGCGATGATTTTCAACGGGTTGAAGCTATAACCACACGTCTTTGAAACTCTTTGGAAACAATGAAACTATCGGAAGCCTTTCTCATTATACATATTTCGTAAATGTTTCACAAAGAATATGTGTGTTTACTTAGTAGCAGGGAACTGCAGTTTCTTTTATTCCTTATACCTCACTTTTTTCTTCTTTGAACCTCAAAGAAGTATCCACAGAAAATCATATTAGGAGGTCCTCGACCCTGCAATAGTGCAATTTCACAGGTGGACTACACAAGGTGAAAATATTTTCCATCCACATATCGTTGGTAATATATTTTATAGTAGAAAAGTTTCACAGCCAAAAGGCGAGCTCACTGTACAGTTGAACAAGCGGAGTTCAACAGATTTTCGCTCACTTTTCTGCAGAGCGGCTCGTTTCATTGTCTCTGGGACAGTGATTTGGTCTTGGTCAATATTTGGGCAAGCGATTTTCCAAGCTTTCACAGCTTCCACTAAACATCGTATATCAAAATTAACCAGTGATGAAGAAATTATTTTCCTGGTTAATTTTTTTTATTTTTTTTTCTTTAAAAAACGTTGCCCCACACTAGGATATTTCTCCTGTGTCGTGGGTGCGTTTACAAACATACAAGTTCACATACACAATGACACCCAGACCCGAAACAACAATTTGTGGATCACACAAAGTGTTGTTCCGTGCGGGAATCGAACCCGCGACACGTTGCACGGCAGCCGGTTGCCCAGTCACCGCATCAACCATGCAGTCAATTTTATTAGTCAGTTAAATTAATTCTTCAGTACCGTGAGCGGAAGGTATGCAAGCCGGTAGGCTTACACTGGAAATTTTACGGACGCCAAGCCCACCCATGCGGACAGGCAGAGTAGCATGTGTCCAGGCTCGGTCGTCGAGAGCCACATTCAAAATTAAGGACAAAGTTTGTCTAATGATTCAGTCGATTTTTTCCAAAAGAAGGGGTGCTGACCATAGGTGGGTCGAGCGCAGATAGTACATAAATTTGGAACCAAAACAACAAAAACGAATAATAGTGTAGGCCGAATACATTATAATGTGATATAGTCTTTCTGAAAAACAGAAAAATTTGATTTTTTTCACCAATAAAACTTGGAAAAGAGTCCTCGAAGAGCCCGGGCGCACCTAGGAGGCGAAGCGTACATTTATCGACAACCGAGATATTAGGCACAAAAGTAGTAAATTTTTTATGATCTGTCTGTCGGTAGAGTCATCTAAAAATATCTCACACTTGGAATAATTTAGGTCAAGGCCAATAGCTAGCATGAAGTTCGTTTTTAAAAAATTGGAAATCATTTAAAACTTTATCTGCATCGCCTTCCAAGGTACCGTCATCGAGGTACCAAACATTAAATTTGGATTTGAGCTGGCGAATAACAGGATTAATGGCCAGGCTAAAAATCACTGGCCCAAGGGGATCGCCTTGTTGACAGCCAACAGCTGATATCAAAAGGTTTTCCTGATATAATAATTTGGTAGGGTGTCTATAACAATGCCAGAAAAAACTAGAAATTTTGGGGTACTTCCTTTTTAACTTCTGTCAACAAAGTATCCCTATTGACCGAATTAAAAACGTTCTTAATGTCAACCTTTAGGATGATGTCACCTTTCCTGGAATTCAGGTAGGTCGACAACGCATGCACGACAGCCTCCCAGCCCCCCTTCTCGATCCATACCCGAGTTGAAAGGGCTGGAATTTTTCCGAAAGAAGATTATTATAAAATTTGCAACAAATCTTGGCTGCCATGCGACGATAAGTTGTTCCTACGGCAATGGGACGAATACCGCCATCCTTCTTGCGTAGGGCACATAGATTGGCCCCATACAAAACGTCGATGACGGATTCGTGCACATTGCCGGAGAGCATAAGATTGATCAAAACCGTAAGCTCCTTCAGCAGCGTTACGCCGGACTCCCCGGCGTTTGAGCTCGTCAGATCTTTCAAATGCTGCGGTGTCAAACCGTCGAGGCCTCCGGCAGAACCGCTCCGGAAGGAGCCTATGGCAGTGACCACTTGTCGACCTGTAACAGATAGGGTATGAATATCTGCTTCTGGAGGATCGGGAAAAGAGAGACAATCTACTGGGGCTAGGTGTTTGCTCTCCAGAGCTATACGTGTATCTTGAGAACATGGAGCCAGTACGTCATTGCTAAAAATAATTCTGGCTGCGCCGCTAATATCACCTCACCTATTTTGGCCTCAACTAAATCAGCTAAAGTTTTGGTTGAGGCATAGCTGCAAGCCGGTAATTTTGGGTCAAATTGGGAAGCTGAAATGCAATTTTCTTTGATTTGTTTTTTAAGGAATTTTTTAACATGTAAGATTTGATAAGCGAAGGTGAGGAGTTGTTCTCAAGTGCGTAACGAGTTCTCTTGTGCTGCCAGACGGACACAATTTGCTAACTGTTGCGCAACTAAAGGTCTGGAACCACGAGGAACTCGTTTAAGTACAGGGATAGATTTTTTTAATTTTGATAATCTTTTCCAAAAGGGATCTGACGAAATAAGTGGAGTAGTATCGGTAACGGGGCTGAATGTACTTTGAGATTTGTGAACACGTCCAATGTGTACATTCAGGTCTCGCTTACCTTTAAAATAGCGAGGCGAACATAGCGGGTATATTTCCAAAGAATGCTGCGACGCCGAAGGGTGACTTCTGAATACACCACAGTCAGCACTCGCTGTTGTGCCTGACATAGACCAAAAAGAAAATTCACTTAATATACTAAATAAGAAAAATTTTACAGATTAATTAAATATAAAAGAAAATAAATATAATAAAAAATGTCGACCGCTTGTCACGCCGCCGTCACGCTGCGCCGCGCCTCCATGCCGCCCATGTCCAAAGAATGTTAATAAACTTGTTGTAGTTGTTTGTTGTGGTACTTTAAATTGAAATTGTGCAGCCAAAACCAAAATTTCCAAAGCCTCCCTAGGCCTGTGCTAGCAGTTGTCGCAGTCAAATGAATAGGCACTTGTATTTCGCCTAGAAACCATAGTTTACTTGCTTTGGTTTTGTGATCCCTACTAAACAATCCTCAGTTTTAAAGAAATTATAGACGGGCAATCATTTTGAAATACAGTCAAGTAACCCTCTTAGATATAAAGTCGAAAATCCAATGACTAAAATTGTCACATATTTGAGTAGGTTAATTAATGGGCATGTTACCTACATGGTTTATGCCAATGACACACTGCTAAAATGCATCATTTAAGTATGTCGGTGCATCAATAACGGTTTTTTCAATAGTAATTGAACTTAAAATAACTTTGTATGATTTAAACGCTGAGTTGCCATACCAAAAATAGTCATTATGAAAAGTCGTATCTCCCCTAATGGACTATGGAGGACAGATAGCAGTCGCTCCGTTTTTAATATTGTCATTTAGCAGAATTTGATTAGAAATCAGTGGCAAGCTAGGGAAAACACTTAAAAAGTAAATAGGTACTTTACTAAGTATCAACATTTTAGTAAATAGGCCTACTTTATCACTGCAAAACTCACTAAACTCTTAACAAAATGATAATAATAATTACGGAGTAGTAATTCTATGAACTGTGTATTGTCTAGGAACAAAGCATGGTCTATTTAATATTACTACATACGTTGATTAATTGGTCACACATAGCGTGCTGGTGATAAACAAAAGCCTAGGAAACTATAATGGAGTCCTTACGACCCAATTTTGGGGAGAGAAGAATTAATAACTCTGTATTTCATTTATACCCATTATTGTTTTTCATTAATTGTCCCTGTTTTGTAGTCTACTACAGTTATGTTCTCAAACGTGATCCTATTTGGAATAAGGATTAATTTGTGTCGACCACATAAACTCTCTGTCTCTCTGATTAAAAAAAACTCAATTTTATCAAGTCTTTTTTCATGTTCACTAATATCTACGGCATTCAGATCTCTTATGATGAATGATAACGTTTTTCTATAGAATAGCTTTATAGCTATAAGCACCCTAAGTAGTGACTAATGGACCGACACTCGTTTTAGATAACATTATCGATGTCATTCTAAATTATAATCCCTTTGTTCTAGATTATTCTATAATCGATAAATTCAATCTCGGTAATGAATATTTTGGAACTGCGTATTAGAGCACCACTATCTCAAGTCGAATAGCTGCAAGTGCGATCACTGAGTAAGGGGTTTCTGATTTGATTTCAAGGTCGGACATTAGGATTTTTTTTGCAGTCTCTTTAGAATGTCAGGAAATTCCTAATTGGCTTAACGAGTGTTGCTGCCTACCCCTTCAGTGATTATTTAAGAAATTAAGAAATTAAGACATTTATTTGCGTAAAAACATTGTATACAAAGATGTTATAGTTACAATATAAATAGATCATCATGTTTTGCTTAATAAATAAAGCATGCAAATTTTAACTAACTTACACTCGTAGTTGTTATACATTATTACTTATTTATGTTCAAAAAATTCCTTAATGCTATAAAAATTATTTTCATTCAACCATACATATAATTTAATTTTAAATAGTCTGAGGTTAAGTGTTTTTAATGTTATCGGCAATTTAT